AATTTATATTAGTGTATAATTTTAAATGTATCTGTGGGTTATCCCACAGATACATTTAAAATTATTTTACTTACGTTTCGTTTACTCTGCAGAATATTTATCAAAGTAAACCAGCGTTATGTAATCCTTTAGACAAGCGAATTGCGGAATGGTATCAGGGCGGGCGGTTTGTTACAATGCAGCGTGGGCGGGCAGTGACCGGAAACCAGTCACATTCAAATTTAATACATTTGAACTTTCTAAGTATTAGTATATTTTATGACCTACTCGATGGTATTTTAGTAATTTTAACAATACAGGAAGTAGTATAATATGAAACAAAATAATAATAATAATAATATAATCGTTTGTAAACAATATTTTCCATATTAGTTTGAATTATTTTATAAACTTAGCCATTTGTTTGGAATTATGTGTACTTCAAGGTTTAGACATTTTTGTTATGTAAATAAAATATTTAGATAAATTTTCTTACTTTCTTTTCTGATTTCGTCGTAACATCATTATTCTTCACTAAAAAAGGTACACCGACTTCAAAATTACTTAGAAGTAATTAGTCCAAACTTAAAGGTGAACTTTTTTGAATTTCACATTGGAACACTCTTGAATAACCAATTTTATTTATTTATTTAGATCCTTGTGATAATTGGAAGTGACTAACGAGACACAAAAACGCGAAGAAACGCGAAACGCGACACTCGAAAAACTCGAAAAACGCGACACTCGACGACACGCGAAACTCGAAAATCTGATGGAAATATGCGACGTTGCCGTATTTCTTATGCCACTCGAAGACACTCGATTACTAACCTACAGAAAATAATCAGAAGTTTCTTAACTCAAGTTAACACTAAACTTTGAGTGTTAACACTCAACTTTGAGTGATAGCACGACTACTCAGTGAAGTTGTTTTTAAAATAATGTTTATAAAATAAATTACAAATCAGTGAAATAAATTATAAGTACTTTAATTAAAATTTACTAAAACTGTTATTTGCAAGATATAATTTATTTTTGTTAAAATTATAATTGCATAAAAATTTTGTTTGAAAAACCTGAACGAAAACCATATCCAAAAATGAAAATATTAAGGAACACTGAACTTTGAGTGTTATACTCGACTGGAGTAAGGAAGCCACATTCTTTCATTGTTTATTTACAATTAAATGACAACTAAATTAAAATTACAATATTGTTATATTACAATATTCTTTCATAGAGTGTACATACACGTTACATCTCTAACTTTTAGAACAGCTACTACAAAACCAAGCAGTTGTTGGTTCTTTCTTAACGTTAACGCAGGGCCAATCGAACCAAAGAAGACATCGCTTACATGTAATCATTGTTTTTGTTAATCGTCGAGGTTTTTGACACGTACCACACTTGATTGTAATTCTTTTCCTTTTCTTTTCGACGATGTCATTCAAGCGTTTGTATGCCGTTGGTTCACAAAATTTTTCCAATGCTTGAATGACATCGTCGTCTGTATTCTTAATCGCATCCGTGACAGTTTTATCATCTACATTAAAACTCGCAGATTCTATTTTACGTTTTTTTGTCACAACATTTAGGATTAAATCATCTGGTATGAACCACGAAAGCATTTCGGATGCTTTTTCTTCATCGCTCAAATCCTCAAAAGCTATCAATTTTCGTTTGCTACTTCGCAACTCACACGAAAGCTTTTTAGCATTTTTTGGCACTGTCACCTCTTGTCTCGGTGTTCCAATAGCTGTTGGTTTTTTGGCCGTCGGTCGTCCCCTCGTCGTGATTTTTGTCGGTAAAGTTACGTCATCGTCGTTGGCAGAAAAATGAGACACAATTCCTGATTTAGTGATAATAGACACTTTGTTGCATGATTGTTGGCCTATTTTAGAGATATTATCAGATTCAGGTTCGAGATCAGATTCACTATCTAGATCAGAGTCAGGATCAAGTTCACAATCGAGATCAGAGTCAAAATCAGAAGGAGGTTCAGATGAAGTTTCAGCGGCAGGTTCAGTGCGAGGTTCAGATGAAGTTTTAGCGGCAGGTTCAGTGCGAGGTTCAGATGAAGTTTTAGCGGCAGGTTCAGTGCGAGGTTTAGATGAAGTTTCAGCGGCAGGTTCAGTACGAGGTTCAGATGAAGTTCCAGCGGCAGGTTCAGGGCGAGGTTCAGATGAAGTTTTAGCGGCAGGTTCAGTACGAGGTTCAGATGAAGTTCCAGCGGCAGGTTCAGGGCGAGGTTCAGATGAAGTTTCAGCGGCAGGTTCAGTACGAGCTTCAATGGCAGGTTCAGAATCAGCATCTTCTAGTGGAAACCATGGATTGATTTCCACTTCAAGATCAACCTCCCAATAGTTGATGAGGGCTGTCAGTGCCTCCATGCGAGGATCAAAGGTTTTGCTCTTCAAAAGACACGCTTTCAATTTCTGCAAAGATTGGTTTGCCAGCAGTTCTATAACAAAATAAAAATAATAAATAACAATACTCGAAACCTTTTTTGTTTCATTGATTATTCAAATATCATACCTTCTTGTGGCGTAATAATCTCTAAAGCAGATTCACTAGAGTCTTCATTCGATCCGCTAGTTGAAAGCTCCTTCTCACTAACTACAATGATCTCTTGTGATAGTGTTGTTGTTGAAGCACTAGCAATTGTTATGGGTGCAGGGGTGACGTTCTGAGTTACAATCGTAGGAGAACTGTGATCGTGTATGGGGTGGCAACTGTGAAGGACGTAAGCGTCTTTTTGCTTGGTTGCTTTGTATTTAGCATGCATTTCGCAACCAGTTTTTTGGATCCTAAAAAAATATAATTATGATCAATTTGTTATCAGATATGTACATGTATTTATTATTATTATGTATTCGACTCAACGGGTATTCACCCTTTCTAAAAATGTTATAAAAATATAAAAAAAAAAATATAAAATTTGTATTGATAACTTATTCTTACCTCGCATTTTTTTCAGCTGTTTTACCACGCATTGGACAGTGATATTGGTATTCATAATAATCTAGTTGACATCCCTCAGGTCTTTTGACATTTGAAACCTCAAAAGACCTAGATCTGCCAGTGGAAAGCTCGATACCAGTTTTTTCTTTATGAAGCGCCAAACGTTTTTTTATTTCATCGTAGTTTTTCACCTCTTGACCGAGTTGAAAAATATCGGATACATCTAATCTCGGATCCATCTGATCTATCTGATCCATCGGATCGATCTAAAAAATTAAAAATATATTTAATAACCAAAGTATACATTAAAATGTTTTAAAATCAAGATTAGAAATTTTTTTTGAGTTACTTGAGTTAACTAACTCAAAGTTGACTAACTCAACTAACTTGACTAACTTGAGTTAGTTGAGTTAGTATCGGAGCATAGATAAAGGCCAACAAATAAACAAACAACTTCAATCGGACTTTGAAAAAGATGTTGATAAAAATAGTAAATATTTGATCAAAATGTCTGAACAAAACTACTACGGCGACGGAGCACGGGGCATCAGCTAGTTTTTTAGATTTTTATTGTATATTTTCAACTTACCTTTATTCAATGTTGATTGACTGTTAGACTTCTACTCTGTCCGATGGACGCCGCAAGTGAACTAACCAACGGACGTTTGTTCAACGTACAAACGATGTTTCTTCACCTCTTTGTTCATTCCAAAAAAGCCAATCACAGAAACATATTTTTGAACGAACCAATCAGAGTCCTTCGGAAAGTTTTTTCCCTTTCCATTTTTCAGATACGAATACAAACGTTCCGATATTCGTTAAAACGATTAGACACAATACACAAGACACAATACAGTCATAAAACAATAAACCCATTAGTACAAAGGCGTTCCAAACTCAAAAAATGAGTCACAGGCTCGAAGTAATAGTACCTCGTGCCTGAGTTGAGGGGATAAAATCGTAAAAATTGATAATATTTTTCTGATAGTTGAAACATGCTGGGTTTTTTGAATTCCAGATTTAACCAGTCGACGTTTTAATTCTCATTTTCAATTTTCCAATATTATTCGGCAATCTGGGGTCACTCAAAATCGTGACACCCAACAGTTGAGTGTTATTCTATTTAAAAATCGGATTTTTGTCCAAGAGCGTTTGTTTTCTTGACTAGTAATAATTAACAAGAAATCGTGAACGGTGTTATATCATCACTCTTCTTCCAATCAATTTCAAACCATTAGAGTCCGAAATTTGTTTCCATTTTTCAGATAAGATTGAAAACATTCAAACAAGTAATAAATTAATTTCCGAAGACAAATTCCGAAATTTGCTTCCATTGTTAAGATAACATTGAAAACATTCAAAAGCGCCTTCAAACGATTAGACACGGTCAAAATGTATCGAGTCGAACGACAGTCATAAAACAATAAACCCATTAGTACAAAGACGTACAAAGACCAGAAAAATGAGTCATAGGGTCGAGACATATTTAGCCTACGAAGCCTACGGGCCTTGGATAAGTGGACGGAAAATAACATTAAACATAAAATAACAACTTGTTCTCATTCTTTTATAATAAAAATGTTGAATGATGATTGTAAACAACTTCTCTCATTTTCTGTCCGAATGACCAAAAAACGTCACCGGTTACTCTGCTAATCAGAAGCCAAGATTTAATGTGTTCGTACCATGACGCAATAACAAGTTTTTGTTTTGTTATTTTTGACAATTTTTCATTTCACGAAATATACTCAATTAATTCTCCATTTGTTTCCTTAAAAAATCAGTGCAAAGAATAAAATAGGTTTTCATTTGTTTATTAAAAAATTGAGTTGATGATTTAAGTAAGCGCTAAGTAAGCGCTCTCTCTGTCTCGCAAGCCGGGCGCAAAAGCGGTAGGAAGAAATTTCCTCCAATTATAAGTCGTGTTTGGCAGGTGACTTTGTGGAAGGGCAAATCAGGGCAGTATCCTTAGGTACTAAAAGCTTTCAGACCACACTTGATTTCGGAACACGATGAGCGCTTTATTCGTTTTAGTGAAGTTTCGTTGATTTTCTTTCAAAATGTCGGTTTTGAGTAAAGGAATGAAATTTGACTGTGATCGTAAATTTTTAACGTTCTTCAAAAAATACCAAAGGGATAAAAGACAGCTTTTCACTAAGAGAAGTTCAATTTCGAGCCAGGACAAACAAGTCGCGCACAGAAATATTAATCGAAAAAAGTTTAAGTATTACACTGTCCTGTATTGCTGTAAGTACGGTGGACATGAATATGAATCACAATCAAATGGAGAACGGAAACGAGGGTAAGTTTTATTTCGAGTTTTGAAATTCACAATAATTTTGAACATATTGAAATTGAAATTCCCTATCAAATTACAGGACCAGAAAGATGGGATGCAAAGCAAAAGTTAGGGCTACTGTCGATAAAACGGGCCGACATCTCGTTATTAGGAAGGCGGACCTGATCCATACAGGACACGATGACCTCGAGGTAATTTCCAATGTTATATATTGGATATATTATGACTATACTTCAATCTTTGGTGTCTAAGAGTCACTCGAGATGAAGGCACTGAATACTTGAGTGTTCCATTTAAAAGTTGTTTTCTGAGAGCGTTTGTTTATTGAGTATCAATTTACAAATATAAATCATGAAATCAAGAACTCGATAATTTTTTCGAGTTTTTTTAAAGTTAAATTTTGAGATCAAAAGTTTTCAGAATTTAAACTGTAACTAGCTCACTTCTAAAATTCAGTTTCGAACAGGCGACGTTATAAATATTTACACTCACAAATTTCTAAAATCATAACTTCAGATTCAGAATCATTACTTCATAACAGAATCATAACACAGATTTTTACGTACAACAATTCTTACATTTTTTCATCAAACAATGCCTTAACACTAGAAATTCTGTGACTTTTCATTATTTTGGTATAGAAACATGTACCTAGAAGGAATTTTTAAAACTGCAAAAATATTTTATGTTTAACTTTGGAAGCCGGACGCGACATTTTTGTCCCCTTTGTAGCGAAAAAAATATTAATAAATTTTGTTCAAATAACAAAAAAAGAACTAAATTTGAAAGTATCGCCATTGGCTAAATTTCAATAATCAATCCCAGAATGAAATACAAATATTTCGGACATTGCAAAATCTATGGCAGAGTTTCCAGAAATAAAACACTGAACTTTGAGTGTAATACTTGATGGAGCATGAAAGCAATTTGTTTTTCATTTTTTATTTACCTGATCGGTAACAAATTTAAAAATTATAAATGTATTAAGTTGTATAAATGAGTAAAGTAATTCAATTATAATTGCATACAAACTTTGTTTAAAAAACTAAATGAAAACCATTTACACAAATTAAAATCTTAGGAAACACTGAACTTTGAGTGTTTTACTCGAATGGAGCATGGAAGCAATATTTTTTCATTGTTTACTTACCTGGTTGTTAACAAATTTGAAATTATAAATGTATGAAGTTGTATAAATGTGTTAAGTAATTTAATTTTAATTGCATACAAATTTTGTTTAAAAAACTAACTGAAAACTATTTACACAAATTAAAATCTTCGAAAACACTGAACTTTGAGTGTTATACTCGAATGGAACATGGAACCAACATTTTTTCATTGTTTATTTATTTTGGCAACTACATTAAATTTACCTGAAATTGTTATGTGCAAGACACAATTCGAAAAGCTATATTGGATAGTGTATCGTCGTTGGCACATTTTCAATAATCAAATTCAAAATGAAATAAAATTATTTGATTTTAAATTTTTCTATTTGCAGGAATACTTTGATACGCTCCCAGAGAACAAAAGACTTTCGGACCAAACTACTCAATATGTTCTCGACACAATGAAATTCGATCCAAAAAAGGCCAAATTGTTCGATTATTTGGAAACAAAAAAAAACGTACAATGGGATTCAAAAGATCTTGCAAACTTGAAGCGTCGCCATGAACCAACTAAAAATGGGAACGATTACGTGGAGTTTACAAAAATACTTAAAAATGAAGGTAACTGTCAATAGAAGTTGAAAACAGAGAAATTTAAATATTAATCATTAACTAATCGAATTTTTGTTGTTATAGGTGCATCATATCAAACTCTGATCGATGAAAAGCGCGAATTAGTAGCCATTTTTTTTTGTACGCCAGAGATGCGGAAAGCAATGAGCAAGTGGTCTGATATCGTGTTCTGGGACAGCACGTACAGGCTCCTAAACAACAATTTTGTGTTATCCTTATTCCACGTAGAAGACTCGAATGGCTTCACTAGAACCGTCGGAGTAGGCCTGCTAGCCAACGAAGAGGCGGAAACTTTCAAATGGCTTCTAACATGTTTTCGTGAAGCCAACCCTGAAGCTTGTCTGAAAATTAGGTCCATTATGACCGACAAGGATCCTTCTGAGAGAGCAGCCTTGAGGGAAATTTTTCCAGAAGTTAACCTCCTGATTTGCAGTTTTCACGTCCAACAAATTTTCCATCGACAAATAACTGTTGGAAAAAGGGGGGTAACGAGCGAGGAAAAAGATGACCTCCTTTTAATTTTGCGAAAACTAGTGTACAGCGAATCGGAGGAAGATTACGATGAAACGTACACTGAATTTTGTGAAGTTGCTCCAGAAGAAGTGATCGATTATTATAACACCAACTGGCATTCGATAAAAGACGAGTGGGTCCTGTATCGTATGAATGCTCACGGAAATTTGAATAATAATACAAATAATAGAGCAGAATCGACACATGCCAAGGGTAAACAAATAGTTCCACTACACAGCAGTCTGGTAGAGTTCGGCAAAAACATTTTTGTTTTCTTTCGGGCACAAGCGCGTCAAATCAAGATCAAAAGCGGAAAACTGATGACTACAAAATCAGCAGAAGCTTTTACAACCGCAGATGAAAAAAACTATTGTGAGTTGTTAACTCCAAAAGCCTTTGCCGAATTGCAACCAGAACTGCTGGAGTACCCTGACGTTCAAATCATGAGTAGCAATGTCGCTCAAAAAGAGTGTTCTTTCGAATTAAACGGAAGGACAATCACGAGTTCTTTAACTAAATGCAAATGTCTGAAAAATCGTTCAATGTTTCTGCCTTGCAAACATGTATTTGCTACTCGTGATTTCTTCGAGCAACCACTTTTTGATAAAACGTTGTGTGCAGAAAGATGGTTGAGAGGGTATAGTGTACAATGCGATACTGAAATTTCCAAACTCACACACTTCCCTAATTGTAGCCAATCCTCAAACGGTAGCGTCACACAAATTAGGCAGTCGAACGAACATGTCACACTGGAAAAACTTGCAAAGAAGTATGACACTTCGTTCAACTTGCTGGCTCACGTAGGCAGCTTGTCTGCGAATCAAAACTTGCAGAACAAGAGTGACTGTTTGCATGATGTGATGGATTTGTGGGCGAAAGGGAAAAATGTGCGACTTTCAAAAATAACAAACAATGAATTGAATGTTATTCAATGTACATTGAAGTTGAAGTCGACAAATGACAAAAGGCGTCATCTTTTTTGTATGAAAAAAACTCCTCGAGAAATTCAGTTGTCAGAGAAAAAAATCAAAATACTAAATCGACTGCTCTCACTGTGGAAGAAGAATGTTCCAGTTATTGCTAAAGAGTCAGATGGCGATTGTAGTTTAAATGATAGTGCGACCTTGAATACTAGCGAGATTAAAGTACCGGAACCAACTTTGATCAAAGGACGACCGAGACAAGCGTTCGATACGTACATTAAGTATAAGTAAATTTTAAGTATACGGATATTTGTATAATTTTATCGTTATTTGTATATGTAAATAAAACTTATAATATTGCAAGTTCATGCATTAATTTTTACCTAAAAGTTCAACATAATAAATAGTAGCTAAGTCCTAACAAACAGCCTCACTCAGAAGTCGTGTCAACACTCAAAGTTGAGTGTTAACTTGAGTTGAGAAACTACTGACAATTTTGTGTAGGTTTTAAAAAATGTACTTTAAAAAATGTACAATTATAGTTCAATAAATTTATTAATAAACATTTGTAAATAAATCACAAAACAAACAAGTGCTCGATAACGAATAAATTACAAAAAACAAGTGCTCGAATGAACGGAAGAAAATAAAAAATAAATACATTTTCTTGGTCGTTAATTTTTCGAATGAGAATTTCAACGCATACAGACGTAAAAAGTAAATTCAATAAATAAATTTTCTGTATAAACTTGAATGAACTTATTGAATAAAGTGATAATTTATTTCACTAACTTATAATTTATTTTATAAACTTTATTTCAAAAACAGCCTCACTGAGCAGTCGTGTTAACACTCAAAGTTGAGTGTTAACTTAAGTCGAGAAACTACTGATTATTTTCTGTAGGTTAGTAATCGAGTGTCTTCGAGTGGCATAAGAAATACGGCAACGTCGCATATTTCCATCAGATTTTCGAGTTTCGCGTGTCGTCGAGTGTCGCGTTTTTCGAGTTTTTCGAGTGTCGCGTTTCGCGTTTCTTCGCGTTTTTGTGTCTCGTTAGTCACTTCTGTGATAATTACATTGTTAGATTATTTTTCAATTAAAAACACAAATAAACTAAATCCTGAATGTATTACATTTTAAAGTAAGTACAACATGCGATAATTTTATTTAACAATTTTAACCAGAAATCAAAAAAAAATATCAATAAAACAAAATATTAATAAAAGTACTATTACATTATTACCTATGAAAACACATTAAAGTTATTAAATAATTTCCAATTGTTAAACATCAATAAATATATATTTAAAAAAAATTACATTAAATTAATGACACATTTAATTTTGTAAAAAATTACGTTGAAGATGCCAAAAATGATTAAATTGTCTAACAAATTGTGATCTAAAGATAAGCTATACAGAATTATTTGATAAAAATACAAGAGAACACTTTATTACGATACACTTCTGCAATGAGTTCCCAAATAGGTCCAAGTGGTCACTTTTCTCGTTCAGGAATTTGGACAGTCGGGAAACTGGCGAGTTAGAGCCTAAGACAGTTCTTTGGAAAGGTCAACAAGAGCAGTAGTTTGATTGCGACGACATCGAGTGAACCTAAATTTGGATACCAAATCTAGATTATCTATAGCATTGGTAAAACTTTTATAGAAATATTTTAAGTCCAGCAAATCTTCTTTTAGTCAGGGTATGCATTTTGACATTTTTTCAGGCAGGCAGTGATAGCCCAGTGGTAACGCGCCAGCGTGGTGGACTATGGCCTAATTCCCCTCGTATTGAAGGGAGGCCCAGCAGTGGGACGTTAAAAAGGGCTGAATACATGCATTTTGAAATATGCTAGCCTTTCGCTGTAAGAATAGAGTTCTTTAGCCTTACCCTGAGAGAATGTCAATGATAAAGAAATCACCATTCTATCCACTCTTGTGCAGTGTCGCATAATGCGATCTCCATACCACGCTATCATACTCTAAAACGCTTTTTAGTAAGCTGTTATATACAATTATATTAGTGCGAGCATTTTGCACTATTTTGCCATTCCTGAGAACAAAACCGACCATTTTTGTGGCTTTGATCTATTTGTGGTATTGGGTATAAATATTATCTTCTCATCAAAAACCACGCCGAGATCCCTGATAGTGCTTACACGTTTTAAAGGTAAATCAGAAATAAAATTCTGGGACTTCACTTTAACTTTATTGTGAATATGAATACAAGAACACTTATCTGTGTTTAGTATCATTCCGTTTACCTTACCATCAGTTATAAAACCTACAACCGTATTTGATCTTCCTGTAAGCGGAGTGTGTCATTATTATCGTTGATAATTTGAAGGAGCTTAAGATCATCAGCGAACATGTAAGGTGTTGAATACTTATTGAAATGAATTGAGCTCGACCGCCTTTCTGTTCAAAATCTAAACTATGGTACACTATAACCTGAATAAACACAAAGGCAAGTGGCAACTGTTAGGCACTCACGGACGCTCCCGAGCGAAGTGTGGGTAAGTCGCTAGCATAACATAATTTTATACAAGTAAATAATAAAATGTAAGACTGGCGAAATATTTCGGCTTAAAATTAGCACTCCCTATTCTTCCGGTCACTGGTTCCAAAAGGATGGGCGTTGCTTGATAGAAAATTCACTTCTCATCCAGGTGGAAAAGTTTATTTTTAATAAACTCTTTTTACATCAAAGACGCAAGAAAGGTATTTATTTCAAATTGTAAGGAATCTCAACTACAGAAGTTTATGAATTTTTTGTATTCGTACGGCAAATAATATGAAGCGTATAGTATATTTTTATTAAAATATAATATTATATAGGTTCAAGCTTCGCCTCACGAATTGCCCAAACGATCTTAATGACATATTGTATTTTTTCTTGCAAAGCGCCAAGCGATATGTAGCCGCACCCTACCGCATTTTATCTTAACTGAATCTGAACTGTATTATAATGTAAACTTATACCTTGACCTGGTTTCGAAATCACACCCTTTGATAAAGTAGACACTTTCTACTGACAAGTCGAGTTGGGAAGTTTCAGTATATGACACAAGGTTTTTCATATACTTCTTTTGTATTTAACCCTTTTTGACGTCCTACTGCTAGACACGGGCCTCCCTTCAATACGAGGAGATGAGGGATCAGGCCATAGTCCACCACACTGGCCAAATACGGGTTCGTGGACTTCACACTTTCCAAAACTTGTTAGGTTATCTCAGACATGCAGATTTCCACAATATGTTTTCCTTCACTGTAAGACAAGTAGTAATAGTGTTGAAAAAGATTCGCACATGAAAAATCAGAGGTGCGAGACCCGGGATTTGAACCCGCTTCACTCGTTAACCCAAGCAAGCGCGTCACCACTGGGCTACGACTGCCTCACTTCTTTATTTTTCAAAATTATTTGACGGCTCCCGCTTATACGTATATAACTTTCATATCACCGGCAGTTCCGATCCGATCGAAAATCCAGGATTAACCCGAATATTTCCACAGTGAAATTCCAATAAAATTACCATATCAGAGAATTTAAGTATGAAATTTGAATCATGCACTTCATAATGTTATATTAATTAGTGCAGAAATTATTCAACACCCATTTCGTTTTTTACAATTTAAAGTTTTAATAAGGAAAATGTAGTGATATTTTAATTAAAATGTTTCTACAACTTTTAGACTGATAACTTCATTGAATTTAGTTTCATATTTGTATTAAATATTCGAAAGTAAATAAGTAAGTAGTTTACGTGATTTTGTTAAGTTATTTTAATCAAGTTATTTATTACTTCAGTCAAGTTTAATGTATAGATAACTAGTGGATCACTCTCTTCGACGGGTTCGCTTCTAGTTAAAACAAATCTATTCCACAGGAACCATACATTTTTCAGCAATAAAAAGTAGCCTATGTGTTATTCTAATATATGGGCTATATTATTTTAAAGTTTCATTAAAATCTATTTAGTAGTTTTTGCACGAAAGGGTAACAAACAACCATACATCAAGACATCCATACAACCTCACAAACTTTCGCATTTAAAACATTAGTGAGATTATAATTTGCTTAACGTCTTAAAGTTAGAAACTTATAAACTAAAAAATATTTTTATAAAACGATGAATGTTATGCTGACCATACACAAGCCGTCTTATTAATACAGGTCCTAATGAAAATATTTTTTGAATATCACGTTTATATTACTATACATTAAAAAAGAAACAAAAGGCTAATTTAGTAGTAGCTTAAGTGTTATAAATGTTATAAGTAGCTCAGTAATAACGCGCTTGCTCAGGAAACCAAGTGAAGCGGGTTCAAATCGACCGTGAAGTCCACCGAACCGTACTTGCCCGGCGTGGTGGACTATGGCCTGATACCTATCCCATTGAGGAAAAACCCGTGCCCAACAGTGGGAAGTTAAACAAGGGCTGAATGAAATTAAACAGAATGAAATACTATCTACTACGTAACTAGATTGTCTCAACATTTGCAATCCTGTCAAAAGCGTTTTTCCAATTCAATTGTTTTATTTTCCTAGTCCATACTGAAGCATGTTTGTACAATATACATATGTATATATACATAAAATTACACTTCCATAATATACCCCTTGCGAGCACGTCAAAGACGTTTCAAGCACTAGAATATCTACATATGTGTATAAATTAATGCTTATACAATTTAAACTATGACAATTTAGAAATTCAATGCTTCAATTCTCTTCCAAAAACGTGTAACGTGCCAACTAACGAGCAGCATTATGTAAATGCGAGTGCTTTACGTTAATGTCATATGGGCGACCTTTTTATGTGTTTACCCCTTTTTACCCTCCTTTACCCCCCTTTACCCCTTTTTACTCTCGTATTCCCAGGGGTGACATTTTTGTTCAGACACATGTTCCGGAAGTTTAAAACATGGGGTAAGAAAGTTTTCCTGCGGATTACGATCGGGATGTTAGAAAGATTTGTTAGAAGTTTTTAAACAACGGCTTTATTAGATATAAATTGCGTTAGATAAATATATTATGTTGTTTCAGTAATGTTTTGCTATTTACATTTGGCTATAAATCTATTTAACTATATTTTGTTACTTATCTGTTTAATTATATTACTTTCTTAGATTTGCGCGAATATTTGCTATTTAAAATAAAACTATCTTCTCGTATTTTTTCGCGGATTTATATTGATTTTTTTTCTAACCTTTCGAACGCTTTACAACGATTATAGTTACGCGAAAGTAACGACTCAAAAGTCTGTATGTCTGTCTGTCACAGCT